CAGGTGCTCAGCCTGGTTTTACGTGGCGCTGGTCCTGGGAGCCCTCGTGCTCATCCTGCTCGGAATCACAGCCACACAAGCCAAGCAGTGTGAGTAGATCCTGCCAGCTGCTTCATCTCCTCCTCGCAGGAGTGGTTAAACCTCACGGGAGGGAAGAAAAATTCCCTCAGTATCGCACTAAAGGTGTCAGGTTGTAAACAAATATGGGAAATAAGAGACTGTTTCCAAGGGCCTGGAGTGACAGGACAAGGGGAATGGCTTCAAACTGAAAGAAGGTAGCTTTAGATTGGATATCAGGGAGAAATCCTTCCCTGGGAGGGTGGGCAGGCCCTGGCACAGGTTGCCCAGAGAAGCTGTGGCTGCCCCATCCCTGGCAGTGTCCCAGGCCAGGTTGGATGGGGCTCTGAGCAACCTGGGCTGGTGGAAGGTGTCCCTGCCCATGGCAGAGGGTTGGAATGAAATGGTCTTTAAGGTCCCTTCCAACCCAGGCCATCACATGAACATCTTTTTCTCACTCCTTGAGTTTGTACCAGGCAGTGTACACACACAGACACATCCTCACACTCACACTGCAGCACTGGGTACACAGGCTACATTTCCTTAGCCTGGTTGTTAACCATAATCACTCTTTCTCTCTCTCTTCAAGTTTTGAAGGGCAGAGCAGGAAAATCAGAGAGTTTGTCCCAGTATGGTCTGAACAGCACCAGCAATTGCATTTCTTCAGAGAAGACCTTCCCTGCAGTGCTCCTGAGATGGCTCATGGAGGAACTGTGTGAGGATGGACAGGGTGAGCCAAGTTACTCCTCCCACAGCATCCAGGACACGCTGTGTGCATGTTTCTGTTGTCTCTGCTCCCATTTCTCTGACCCCCTGCAGTTTATGGGAACTCACTGGTACCACCCAGGGAGCATCGTGTTCCTGCAGGGGAGTGATAACAGAATCTAAACCAACATTTTAATGGCAATAGTTTTTCTCCTCTTTACATTTCTTTCTGTCAGGAGCTGCTGTCAGAAATACCATATATTGTAGATCCTGCCCTTGGCCTGGAGAACACTTTCCAGACACGGATGGTTCACAAACAGGGGGAGGAATTCAGCTTTTCTATCCATTTGCAAGGGTCAGGCAGGGGAAGACCCTCCTGGTCTTCTTTTTCTCGGCAAATACCAATGTTTTTTTCTGAGGGCTGATCCTTTGCTGTTCCTTTGAATCACTAGAGGAAGCCAAGACAGAAGACACGGGAAATGTTCCTCCTACATGTTCTGCATGAAATGGGAAGCTGATCTGGGAACAGCAGCTTAACACTTAACACAGTTCCTTCTCCAGCCTTGTGGACAGTGGTTTGGACGTCATCTCATGTGCCTGGTCACATCATGTGTCAAATCCACCCCCTCCCACACATCCTGCCACATCCCACAGGGTCTCTTCACAAAGGGCTGAGTGTGGGAGGACAAAAAGTGTCTTTGCAGCCCTCCAGGTCCTCCCAGTGCTCTCCACTGGGCAGGTGCACCGGGAGGTGGAGAGGGAGCCCGGGGATGTGCCAGGGGAAGTGCAGATGTGCACGGCACCACGGCAAGGGAGTGGGAAGCTGAGGGAACAAGGGGCACTGGAGCCTTCAAACCTCTCTCCACACACAGGAAATGCACATTTGGGAGTGTGGGCTGGCAAATTTTGTAGCACATGAGCATAAAGTGCCACGAGGCAACTGGAACGAGTCACGGTGGGAGCTGATGGTCCCCTCTCTCCATCCACAGCAACAACGTGTGAGCTCTGTCCCCCCGGGTGGCAGCTGCACAGGGGCAGATGTTACTACTTCTCTGAGGAGGCTAGCAGCTGGGATGACAGCCAGAAAAAGTGCCTGGCCAGGAAATCCCAGCTTCTTGTCGTTGAAGATGAAATCGAGATGGTGAGTCTTGCAGCAGCCCTGGAAACACAACAGGCATCTGCCTTAGCCAAACATTTCTCCAAGAGAAAAGGTATCAGATGTCAGGTGTACATGCAAGAACCCCACCAAGGGCAAAGCATCTGTCTCTCCATCGACAGGAACTTGTTTTGGGAGTGTCAACAGAGTAGAGCTGAAGAGGAGAAGCACAAGAGATGCCAAGCATGGAAGCCAGAGTAGTTTTGACTGGGAGGAGGAAATGCTGGGGGTTTTCACCCATTTCTGTTGCTTGGCTTTGGGAAGAGAGGTCTGATTCAAGCACTAAATGGAAATTCAAGCAGCCAAACCTCCTTCTGCTTTTCCTTTGGGAAAAGTATAGCAAGGTACCAGCAAAGAGTTCTGAGAAACTCACGATTCCCTGAGGAACAGGTCTTTTACCTTAAAGAGCAGGATTTGCAATCTGTCTCATTAGGGTGAGAGGCATCACTGCCTTTTTGCCTGTTGTTTGAGAGCTGTCAGGAAGCTCATCAGCCTGAATTAAAACCGTGGCTGAGCACGAGTGTATGGGCTGTTGTAATGGGTTGCTTTCCAGTGGCTGGATCCCTGCCCTTGCTCTCCATGTGAGGGACTAAAAGCTGTGCCTGAGACAGGACAGGGACCTGGACACAGCAGGAAAGCTCTTCTGTGGGTTAACAGGCTTCTACTCTTTCCACAGGAATTTATAGACAATAAAGAGAAAGATCCCAAATATATCTGGATCGGGTTGAGGGCTCGAGACAAGAAGAAACAGTGGAGTTCAGTTGGAGATCACAGAGTACAAACAAACAGGTGATGATTTCGGAGGGGGGGGGGTTGCCTTTGGCAATAGCAAAGGTATGGTATCTCTGCTTGGAAATTCCCAAAGCACAGATGGAATCCTGCAGCCTCAGACACGTGTTCAGAGTCTATTCCACAGCCAGTTCCAGGTCAGCTGGTTCCTGTCGGGCACTTCTGGAAATGTTTTCTGCTTCCAAGAACAAGCCCAGACACAGCTCATGTATATATGAATGCTGAGAGACTTTATTACACACTTCTTCTGCTGAAATCTCTGCCAACAAACTCCCTCACTTGACAGTCCATGTGCTGCCTGTCCCATGGGGGGGTGCTGGGATCTGTGCAGCCCAAGGGTCCTTCAGCACTGTGGCTGCACGTGGAGCTTTCCTCCTCCTCCTCCTCCTCCTCCTCCTCCTCACCCTCGTGCTCCCGAGTATCCATCCCTCACAGCCAGGAGACCCTGCTGGGGCTGCCCACCTCACCTATTCCTGGCTGCTGTGCTCCAGGCTGGCTCCCAAAAGGGCATCACCCGGCCCCCTCACTGGCCATTCCACCGGTGTTTTTAACCAGCATTTTGAATTTAGTGCTGAGTCCAAACCCGACAACTCACTGCGTTCCTTTTGCTCCCTCAGCAGGACAGATCTAAGGAGAGCTGAGGCTGACAAGAGCTGTGCTGTTTACAGAAGGAAAAATGTGATCCAAGCAGACAACTGCCAGACCTTAAAGAAGTGGATCTGTAAGAAGAACGCAACTTTGCTGGAGCTCTGAGCCAAATTTCCAGACAACAGGCAGAGCTTTCTGTCAGAAGACCCATTTTACTGAATAACCAACTTGTGATGTAAATAATTTTAAGGAGACTTGCGTGGAATTTTGCTGTCCTGTGCTCCTTAAGAAGTCAGAAGTTGCCAGGTGTCAGCGATGAAAGGTCACGGGACTGCAAGTTGGCACCTCTGGATTTTGGGGCTGCTGAGCCTTCCCATGGACAGACTTTGGAAGCAGCTGCCTGAGGGGAAGGATGAGGATGAGCACTGTGCAGGTGAACTGTGTGATGTGCAGGAAAAGTGGCATCTGCAGGGGCTGAAGAGTGTGCTGGATCCCGCTGCTGTCACACACCTCCCTCACGACTTGCTATTTGGGTTTCAGTATTTCAGTACTTTCTGTAGTTTGTTTTGTTGTGTTTGTTTGGGGGTTTTTTGGGTGTTTTTGTTGTTGTTTTGTTTTGTTTTTGTTTTCCTTAGAGCCTTGTGGCTCACAGAAGCCAATCAAGAGCTGGAAAAAATACATTTACTGGACAGTACCTTATTGAGAGCTGCTACCCAGCTGCTGTGTGCAGATAGCAGACCAAACACGAAGTGACTTGCAGCACTTGTCGTTAATAAGCTGATTGCTCCCATCTTCTTCTGATGCTGAACCTTTGAACCTGAAAGCAAACTCTTACCTAGGGAAGGGGCTTAGATTCAGAGACAACTTTGTAGAGCAAAGAAATAAAGAGGATAACCTGCCTCTCCACCTATATTTTGTCCCTTTACATTGCAAATTCTTTCACGTGGAACCACAGTTTCTGCCTGGAAGGTATGATGAGGTGGTGAAATTAATGCCTGTGAGTGCACTCAGTAAATGAATTACTTAGGCATTGAATGGATAAACACTATTTCTAGGTCTAGAATACAAAAGTGCTATGAGCAGTCTGACTTAGTGCCTCTATCACATCTATTTATTGAGTATCTTTTCAGGACTATTGCACACACCATATCCCTCAGAGCCAGGTTAATTTAAAACCATTGCAGAATAACACCCTCCCAACACAATATATAAGTTAATATCCAAAGATTATGTAAGTTAATATACGAAGATTATTGAGCTTTTCACACTGTAGAGTCCTGTTACTGTGCCTATAAAGAATACAAGCAATTAAAAAAAGTGTAGTTCAGCAAAATTAGTGATTATATATTAATAAACATCTTAGAGTCACAAGTTAGTGACAATATGCATACTGCTATAGTGAAGTCCTATTGTCACAGAAAATAAGGAAGGTGAACTTCTCATTCTTCCTTCTCTGGAAACACTGATTATCCAACCAGAAATGCACCACTTGCTTGGAAGCCTCCTACTCTGACAGGCATAGGACAGGAGGAAACCACAGAGAAACTTCCTTTGCTGTTAATTCTCTTTTTCTCTTCTCCTGATTTTGCCTATTTCCACTGAGAACTATTTCTAACTTTATACATTAATGCCTGCAGCTTCACTGTTACTTTTCCAGTTCAAACTCTGTAACCCCACATCAGAGCAGATCCTCAGGTAATCAGCACAATCACTGGGATTTAACAAGGCTAACGTGAAATAACATTAACAAAACATTGAATACAACGCAGAGTCACACAAGATGCTTCCCACCGAACTGGGAGAGGGAAACCTGCTGTGATCCTGTCTAAAACAACTGTGCTTATTCCTGCAGTCCCCTGTCTGTGAGAGGCACTGACAGACCTTCAGACAGTCCCACTTCACCCCCAAATCCCTGCACACAGAGGGAAAAGCAGAATAAGAGCGTCCAGATGCACATCAAAAAGGAAAAAAACCAGCAGCTGCTCCTCCAAAGGAAGGGTTAATGGAAGAAATACTGATGACACAACAAGAAGAAACAGGCTGGGCAGTAGCTAGAAAAGTGGGGCAAGGAAATGACTTATCAAGGTGCTGGAGCGAACCTTTGAAATGGTATCTTTAAATCCAGAGGCTTCCTCCACAGGTGGAGAATTCTGGCTACCAGAATAGTCATTCACCTCCAGGCAGGAGCTGGGACACGTTCCCAGGCCCCAGAGTATTGACACAGCCTGTGCAGACACCACATCAGAGACAGGTGACAATGTCAGGGGGCGGCTTCCCCCACCTTCATCGTGCTGAGTTAATGGTCAAGCTACAGACCCATTTCCTGGTTAAATAACATCCAGAGGCTGAGGCTCCTTTCGACTCAAGATAGGCACAATTTCCAGAGCCCTTTACCTCAAAGCTGTGAGGGAGAAAGAAAGACATGATTACTTTGATTCCCACTGTCAAATATTGGGACAGAGCAGAGGCAACTGTGGGTTCTCTTGAACAAAGCCTGATTTGCCACAGGCAAGGCATCCCAGAAGGAGGATGACAGCTTGTGTTTGAAGAGAACACCACAGGGGTTTTCTTTTTTTTAATGGGACTCTGTGCCCAGAATACAAAATGTAGGACCTGTAGTACTCCTGAATCTTGTCTAGTGGTCACTTAAGAAACTTAGGTTTCCCTTTCTCAAGGATGCTGTGCTATCAAGACTGGTGCCAGCTTTATCTTCCACATCCTCCTAGACAGCTAAAATGTTCCAGCAGAAGGTGTGAAAGAAATCTCTCTCTCATTTCTCTCTTCCTCAGAAGAGAATGGGGCACTGTGGTTCAGGGGGTGGTGGAAATCAGGAAGTGAACCTCAGTTCCCACGCTGTAGATGCCCCTGTATAAGAGGTGAGGGACTCCTTCACCAACTCTGTTAGAAAACAAAGTGCTAAAATGTTCTGTGGATAGGGCCAGCCCAACAAGAATGGTCTCTGGAAAAGCCAAGGGACAAACCCTCATGACTGTAACAACATCTGAGCTTACACACATCGAGGTGTTCGCCCTCCTTGAAGACAGGAAGGGCAGGGTGAGGCAAAGCACTGAGGTCTAAGAATGGGAAGAACTTCATCACTGATAATGAAAGCATCTGTGGATGCTTGTGTTGCAGGCAGGGGATCAAACAAGTGGGAAGGAGTTCCAGTGGGAGGAACAAACTGCCCCACAGCTGACACTGGTGGGACAACAACACAGGGCCATGACCACACAGCAGCTCCTGCAACATAAACTCACAGCTTCTCCTTTCCCTCCAGCAGCCTTTTTTGTAGGAACATTCTATAAGAAGTGTGAAAACATCTCCTAGAAGTCTCCCAAATCTCTTTGCTGTAAACCTCATCCAGGTTACATGGGGGTCTGTACTTTTGCAAAATATATGCTATAAGGAGGAATTTGTGTTATTGTAACCCTCTATTCCTCCACTGGTTGCTTTGGTATCTTGGTGGTCTCTTGATTTACGTTTCACTTTGCCATGAGCTCCTGTCTTATGTTCCTTCTGAACGCTACAAATTTATCTCCTTTTACCCCTCACACTTGTATCGATGCCACGTGAAATCTTTATTGTATTCCATTCTCTCTCAGTAATCATCCCTCCTACATAACTATAGATATTTCCTTCAAGGCACTGTCTGTATCTGTATTAGTTATCTTTTCTTACTCCCCTATAATCTAGTACCACCAGCAAAATCTCTCAACATCAACTTACAGTTCATTGTCTAATGCTTTTCCATTTACCCAAAAGAACTCTTCGTTTCTTTTATAGAGTCCAATCCATGGGTCTTGCTTTGTTATCTTCATCATAAAACTCTGTAGGAATAAACTCATATGAGAAAAGAAGTTCATGCTATGAAAACACAGCCCTTGTTTTGCTTTCTAGCCCTGGATCAATCTTGCCTTTGTCTCTGAAGAAATAATATTAAAACCTAAATGTACAGAGTACTGGTGCCTGTGACACGGTTGACTGACCTAGAGAGAGGCTGTTTTAAAATATCAAGGTCTGCCATCAAGGTTTTTTACAGATATGGAGGAATATAATCCCCTAGATTTTGTGCAGGGTGGAATCTTTCCTAATACTGTAGTATAATACAGAAAGAGATGCTCCAAACTGTGGTTAGGATATCTCCTAACTCGTGTGTCATTAACCTATCTTGCTATCATAAAACAGTTAATTAGAGAAAAATGAGTTGCAACAGTATTTACCCTGAAAATTGCCTTCAACTTGAGTACTTGTAGCTGAGAGCAGCACCAGATCTAACTCAGATGAGCCCTGAGGCATTTTTAAAAATCAACTGATGAAAGTGACTTTGTGTTTTCAGGGAGAGAAGGCAGGAAGTTTTCTGCAAGCTGTGACCCTGAACAGCTCTCTTCAGGAAGTGAGGGACTCCCTGAAAAGGCTGAAATCAGGACACCCCTTTTATTCCCTTACCAGCTCCTGCTGGTTCCCGATCACCAGGAGGGAAGCGTTGTGCAAAGAGCAGTGGCTCTGGCTGGAGTTCCAGGTGGCTTCACTCTCCGACAGGTAGTAGCATTTCCTCTGGAAATACAGCCAGCCTGGTGGGCAGACTTCCAGGCAAGGGCAGACAGGAAAATCTTTGGCTGAAGAAAGGTTTACTGGGAAAAGAAAAAAAAACAAGCTACCTATTTCTTCCAACAGGAAAAGGTCTCCAGAGTGTTTTATTTTGCTTCCTGACTGCATCATCCCAAATGATCTCAGTCTAATCATAGGATTATTAGCTCTGCCCAGCAGAAATAATTATTGCAAATAATTAAATACTCTGGATCCAGCACCCTTCTCTTCTCTTCTCCAGGCTGAAAATATCATGGAACATCTATTTAATTTAGAAATAAGGTGAGTTCTGAATAAAACCACTTAAGGTTTTGATGGACTTCTGACAACCTAAAACTCAGGGAATTTCTATTGCTAATTATCTTTTCTTTTAAAATGACTTACCAAACTGAATACAGGAAACCAAAACGACTGCAGCAGTAAGGACTCCAGCCACCACTCGCCAGAACCAGATATTGGAGAATAGACCTGAGAAAATAAATGTCAGGATTTAAAAAAAAACAAAATAAAACAAAAAACCCACAAGCAGTTTACAGAGGAGTAGAGCCCCGGACCCATAGAACTGTTCCAAGAGTGAAAGTAGTTCCCTGTGGACAGCAGGCTGGGAGCAGAGCTGAAGGATAGGAAGTCTGTGACATAGAATCATAGAATTAACTGGGTTGGAAGAGACCTCCGAGATCATCAAGTCCAACCCTTGATCCAACCCCACTGTGATTACCAGATCATGGCACTCAGTGCCACATCCAGCCTCGTCTTAAAAACCTCCACTGACAGTGAATCCACCACCTCCTTGGGCAGGCCATTCCAGTGCCTGATCACTCTCTCTGTAAAGAACTTCCTTCTAATTTAGAACAACAAGAATTCCGAGTTACTTTTAATTACGTCATCCAGAACTTGACCTTATAGGGAGGTAGCTCCTGACACTCCCAAGTCATCAAAAAAAGAAAGAAATGAGCATGGGACAAAAGAGGGTGGACAGTAAGTTTGCTATTGACCTCATGCCTAAACGTGGCATGGATAAGTGAAACAGGACAAGTCTTCAGCTCTGCAGCTGCAGTGAAACATCCCGCCTTATCCCAAAGCTTTTCAGGGTTTCCTTTTCTTCCCCGTTCCCTTCCAGGCTTTTGGAGGTGGGAAGGACACAGCAAGCTGCCCCTGCCCTGCCTTACATCCAACTCTGCAGGCGGCAGAGGGCGACGAGGTGTCCCCGAGCGGCTCCCAAGGCAGGGTGGCCTCTCGCTGCCAGCACAGGGGTTTTCCAGCCACCACCACGCCGCAGGGCAGCAGCCAGGGCGCTCCAGCCCGGGCACCGGCAGGAGAGGGAGCATCCTCGCCCCGGGACCGGCAGGAGAGGGAGCATCCTCGCCCCGGGACCGGCGGCTGCACCGCTGCTCATCCCCGACGGCGCAGCCGCTCCTCGGCGGGGTGTCCCGGCTCTAACCATGGGATCGCAGCCCGGCCCCTCTCCCTGCGCCCCGTCACCTTTGCAGGATCCCGTCCCAGGCTCCTCGGAGCCGCAGCGCCCTCGGCATCCCATGGGTGCGGAGATCACGGGGCCGGAACCGCCCGAGCGTCCGGGGTGGGAGCGGCTGGTCGGGACCCGCTGCCCTCTGTCCTGGTCCTGGTCCAGGTCCCGAGGGTGGGGGCAGCCAGTCGGGATCCGCTGCCCTCTGTCCTGGTCCTGGTCCTGGTCCAGGTCCAGGTCCCGGCTCCGAGGGTGGGAGCAGCCGGCCGGGATGCGCTTCCCTCCATCCCGGGATGCGCCGTCCTTCCTCTCCGATTGCGTCATGGTCACGATGCTTTGTTCCTGAATAATAACTCTGGGATTCCCCTGAAATAGGAAACGGGGAGTAGTTTTTTTTTGATTTTGGTGTGGGCTTTTTTGTTGTTGGTGGGGGTTTTTTTGTTTGTTTGTTTGTTTTTGGGTTTTTTTCTCTTTAAGAAGAACTTGGCACCCAGCAGGTCTTGCCGCGGTTCTCTTCTGACATCAGCGAATTCCAGGACCTGACGCAAAGGCCCAAAGCTCTTCTTGGTTTTATCAGTTTATTCAATGTTTATTTATTTATTTTCTTCTCTTATACGGAGGAGGAGAGTAAAATGAAGTGTTTAAACGCTGATCGCCTAAAACTTGAGCTCTTTGGAAAACACGGCCAGTGATCTGCCTCTCCCAGGGGAGTGTAAAGCCCCTGATGATACTGACTTTCCAGCCGTGGGGATGAAGAAGTTATTGTGAATTTTAATCACATCATCCAGAACTTAACCTAATAGCAAAGTAGTTCCTGACACTCCAAAGTGATCAAAAAAAAAAAAAAAAAAAAAAAAAAAAAAAAAAAAGAGCGTGTGACAGAAGCTGCATTGCTTTTAAGTGCAGACATTTCATTCGGTGTGTTTTGCACAATTAACTGCTTTATTTACAGCAGATCTTGGCTGTGTTGCACGCTCAAGCAGCCAGAGGGGCACAGCTCTCTTCGAGTCATCGTGCGGGCTCTGTGCAAGGCTGGTGAGGAATTCAGCCAACGGTTTATCCAAAATGAGCATCCTCCTGCACCTGGGGAAGAAACCTCAAACAGAGAAGCGTGTGTGCTTTCACAGCTGTCTCCAGTTACTCTGAATGGACTCTGTGCAGTGGTCAGAAAATTACCTCCAGGTGTTTGTATTTACAGATAATAAAGAGTTTGAGCAGTGGTCAGTTGGTGAAAATTGTCTCCAGGTGTTTGTATTTGCATGATAAACAATGAAGAGCCATATCAGCTTAATACCTCCATGAATATAGTTTGAGTTGCAGCTGATTTTATCCTTTGTCTGCAGCAGGTGCTCATTTAAGCAGCTGATTGGGAGGGCTGGGTTGTCCACCATGCCTGGGGTGGCACTTGAGAAGAAATAGAAAGGCAAAAGGGTGAAGAATAATCCAACAGTTTTGTGCAGCAAGGCATAGATCTTGGTGGCTTCGTGGAGGTTCCTGGGAGAGGCAGGAGGTGATGGCTCCAGGGAGCACAAGCTGCAGACACTTCAAAGTGTTTGACAAGACACGAATCCAGAGGGGCAGAGACTGAGAGTGGGGTGTGGAATCAGGGCAGCAGAGAGGTCCAGCATGCAGTGGGATATGAATGTCTGCACAGCTGGTATTCTAAGAACAGGTTATTCAGCATTTACTCACTGGGAAGGAGTGGCTTTCTCTCTTACCATTCAATCCTGCCTCTCTCTGAGGTCAAAAATAGCACTGTGGCTTCTAACCACAGAGCGTTCACCAGTGAGTGCTCTTTCCCTTCTCACCCACTGCTACAGAAGATCATTTTTGGCAGCTGCAGGCAGCTCTCCAGGCTGGCAGAAACCCCTGGGAACCCATCACATACTCAGTTGTGAATCATTTCATTCTCTGAAAGTACTATAGTTATTAACCCCAGATGCTTTTAACTGAGACGCTCCTTCTTTACTTTCCCTGATCCGTCTGCCTGAGAGACCCACAGGCATTTTCTCAAGTGAAGATTAATAAACAAGATAGGAATTTCTTAAAGGAAAAAAAGGCAAAAAGACAAAATTAGCCCCCCAGTTGAATCACATGAAAATTACTTTAAAATATTGCCACGATGTAGGGAGAAAGATGGAAACATTCTGAGTAAAGAATGTGGCATTTTGTAGCAGGGGTCTCAAGGGACAGATTCAAAAAGTTAAAGATGGATTCTTGTGATGCTGCCTCCTGCTTCCTGCTGCCACAAATAATATTATTTATCACTTACTAGTCATAGAATCATGAAATGGTAGAATGAGCAATAAAATATCTCTGAAGGTCCCTGAGACAATGTGCATACAAAGGGAGTTGGGATGATCTAGAAAATCCTCACACATGCAACACAGCTTCCTGGCTCCCACTTATCTGCATTTCAGTGCATCAGACTGCTGCCTCCTCACCCTAGAGGTAAATTAGGGGGGAAATATCTCTTTCATTGAGGAAGGATCAAAATTCCGTGTTCTTCTCCTCTCTCAGAGAGCTCCTGTGCTGTCAGAGGGGAGATTCAGGTTGTGACTGTGCCCGAGATGGGCATTTACACAGCCAGACAGCAAGAAAAGTGACTGAAAAGCATCCAGACCTTGCAGTGTTGTGCGAGAGCCTCGTGACTCCCAACTTAAAAACTCGTTGCTGCAAGCCCCATCCAACCTGGTCTGGAACACTTCCAGAGCTGGGGCAGCCACAGCTTCTCTGGACAAGCTAATTTACCCTGCTCTTGGTTGGCTTTGTCAGTTCATCTCCATCCCCCTCCTCAGCCTACAGAAGAACTACCAGTGAGTTCTCCAAGGCTTTAGTCAGACCTTGAGGGATTTGTACCCCAAACAAGACATTGATTTCTGATAGGATTGTTATTTACTTGTTCATAGCACTTGTGTGTTGTTATTATTGAGTAGAAGACATAGCTGTCATCCTCCAGAAATGACATTCTTAGCACTGAAGATGACTTGAGGGAGGACAGGAACAAGAAGGGAGGGTTGATACATGGAAGGTAAAGCATTACAGTGTTGTAACAACAATATTATTGAATTCTTGAAATGATAATAATATTATTGAATTCTTGAAATAATAATAATATTATTGAATTCTTGAAAACAATATTAGTAAGCTGAATAAAAGGAGAAAAATGCCAGAAATGAGCATGACAGGGAGGTTAAGGTGGAAACCTCAGATGATATAAAGATGTTTAATTACCTGTATCTCCAGAACCTGATGATCTGGTCATAATGAAGATTAGTAGCTGTACTCTCTGTAAGTGTTATCTTCCAGTAATCTCCCCATATTCCTTTATAGATAATACCTGTTCCACCACAGAGCAACCACCGTGTTCAGCACCTTGAAAAGCCACTCACCATGTGAAGCCTTTGCAGCCACAAACCAAAAAAAAAAACACAAAAGGTTCCGAAAAGCCCGGCTGTGGATTTCACCCGCTGAGTTTGGTGTTCCCTGCGCAGGGAGCAGTGCCAGGTGTTTCTCCCCAGGGTGTCTGCAGGCTGTGCCTCTGCTCCAGGAAGCTTTCAGGGGGCCAGCACTGAAGGGAGGCTGTGCAGTCTCCTCGTCAGCCAGAGGTGCTGGTGCTGATAGGTCCTTTCTCAACCAAAGAAGAGGGGAGGGAAGAGCATGTGCACCCACAGAGCTCACCTGGGACTTTTGGAGTGGTGGCTCACCCTGCCATGAGCTCCACAGAGCTTCTCACCCTCCTCTCCTGTCCAGCATCCTGTGCATGTGCCTTAGGGCTGCAGCTGGAGGAGCAGAGCACCTTCCCCCACAGGCAGGAGTAACACCTGGGCTGCTCAGCCCCCCGTTATGAACCCACACTGCCCTCAGAATTTACCCACAGGGAGGAAGAACATGTTTCTGAACTGCACAATCCCCACATTCCTCACAACACAGCAAGTGTCTGAAGCTTTGGAAACTCAAGACACTGATACCCGAATCACTTCCCAGCAAAGGCGGCCACAGGGAGGCCATGAATTATATTTACTGATGTTTCTTGGATTTAACCCTCTATCATCAGAAGATGAATTATGTTAAAGTTCTCATTCTGTGTGTGTGACCGGAAAAAGCAAGCAGTTCCTCCTGAAGGTTAGGCAGGGGAGGGAGCTCTGAGTCACCCAGTGCAGAGTGTCCTTCTAAGAGCAGCAGAGAGAAGAAAGGGGAGAGCAAGAATGGCAGAAAATATTTGCACTGACTTGAACCCGCCTGAGCCAGCCAGACCCAGAGTACAGCAGGTCACTGATGTCCAAGGTAGGTCACTCGGTGTGCACTGAGCTGTCTTTGCAGTCTTCAGTTCGTCTCCCACATCTTCTGAAGGAGTGCCATGTAGCACCAAAGCCCCAAAGGGCACAAGGGAAACGTGAGGGTCAGTGCTGGGAAAAATGGGCAGGTGGGGTGTCCAGGTAAGGCTGGGATTGTGATGATGTCTGCTTTTCATTTGTTTAGGTGCAAGTGCGAGGGAGAGTCTCTCCTGTGATATTAGGAGTAGTTTTTATCAATTTTGGAGACTGTTGCCCAGTTGAACATCCACTGGCCCTGAGCCAGGCCAGTTCTCCCCCAGCACACTCTGATTCCTGCAGCAGAGGGCCCAGGGTTGAGTGTCTCCTGTTGCTGGTGTTTGCAGCAGTCTCAGGCACAGGCTGTTTGTGCTCCCTGAGCACAGCAGGCATTGCCTTGGGGCTTTTCCCCCTGGCTCTGCCTGTGCAAACTACTTGTTGAGTGCATCAGGTGTAAAATGTTTCATGGAAAGGTTGAGTTTGATCTAGTATAAAAGACCTTGGAAAATTCTCACCTCTGTTTCAGCTTTCCTTAATGTCCTAAAAACTGTTGCATAAACCTTTGCACCGGTTTTGCTACTTCTGCATAGCATTACTTCCTAAAATAACAGACTTCATGCATTGTGTCGCTCTATTTGTGTTTCTCTTTTCCTTCCATTTCTTTTAATCTACCTATCTCTTTGGCAGAAATGATTTTCTGCCATTCTGTGCTTGTCTTCTGCAGAAAATGTGAACCCTGCTTGTCTGTTTCCAATTGGAGTAGGTGATGTGAAAAGGTCACTTCCAGCCTAAAGCTGGAAATTCCTAAAAATTCCATGGCTGCATGGTCAGGACGGCAGAGCTGATTTTCACAGATCTCCTCTGGAGCATTCTTTTGATTTTCTTACTTTGAATTCCCATTAGATCGGTTGCCTTTTAGTTCCTGGGTGCCAAAATACCTTTAAGATTGAGGTAACAAAACAGCATCAGCAGTGCAGCTATCTCCCACCTCATGTCCCTTGGAACTGGTTA